TGTGTATAAATAAGTCTGGGAAGTATATAACTAAAAGTGTGGAAAGTGATTATCATCTCTGGGTGGTGATAATTTTTGCTTTCTTCTTTTTGCTCATGTATAGTTTCTAAAACATCCACAATGAACATGTATTACTTGTCCAATAAGAAAAAGCAAAGCTACAAATTATTATTATTATTATAAACAGGTATTTTATGTTCACAATATCTCCCTGTTGGCTTTGTTAATATAGTGCTTTGGGGCACAGCTATTGTAGTTGTGAGCAGAACTTGGTCAGTAATGAGTCTTCCTACCTGTCAGCACTGTGAATAGGGCTGAAAATTTGAGCTTTGGCTATATCTCAGGTTTATTCTCTTTTCCTGGGCATTGTGATGAACTACAGCTACCATCCTTTGGGAGGTCCTCCTCTAGATGCTGACCCCTTTCCAGACACTCTTCCTCATACAGACATTCCTTCCCTTCCAGATACTTTTCCTCCTCTAGATACTCTCCCTCCTCCAGATACTCACCCTCTTTCAGGTAGACTTCATACATACTCTCTTCATATGGATACAGTTTTCCTTCTAGATACTTTTCCTCCTCCAGATACTCTTCCTCCTCTGGATACTCTTCCTTCCCCAGGTGCTCTACCTCCTCCAGATACACTTTCTCCTCTGGATACTCTTCCTTCCCCAGATGCTCTTCCTTCTCCGCATACTCTCTCTCTTCAGGAAATAGAGATTCATCCTGCAAATTTTCCTTATCTAGTTTTACTTTAGTATTCTCTTCCTCTAAAGATAAGGTCTGTGTGGAATACTGGGAAGTTGTGGAAGAGTGAGGAGATGATGTTTCTGATGACTGATTATTTTCAGCAGACATGTTGGGGAAGCAGTGGGTAGATGGATTCCTTCAGCAGCAGGCAAAGTCACCTCATTGTCCTGGTAACCAAGAAAGTAGTAAACTCCTATTAGTCAGTAATAGCAACTACTTGTTGATTTAAACTCATTTTTGTTCACTCATTTCATGCAATAGTCTTTGGAGGTCTCTTTAAGTATGCAGATCAGTACATGGTGGCCAGTGAAAAGACACAAAAAGAGGGAACAGAGGCTTTATGCTCAATGAGCTAGGGGGAGAGATTACACCTGAAGGTAAAACCTTTAAAATTATTGCACAATATGAAGTAAATGAGGCGGGCTGGAGAGTGATCAGTGTTTAGTGGTGCAATCATTGGAGAAGATTTTTATTTATTCATTAAGAAATATTTATTGCCACAATAAACAAGACAGAGATTGTCTTCCAGGAGCTTGAAACTGGGGGGAGAAATAGAGTCATACAGATTTCTAGACACAGTGACAAGCACAATGGAAGAGATACACGCAGGGTGGTATAGACACAGCGGATGGGCCTTTGGTTGAAGGTCTGTGAGGCACATTCTCACAGCCGCCACACACACTGTCACCTCAGCTAGAAGCACCATGCACTGATAGTTCACTGGACAAATGCTACTTATACTTTAACATTGTGAGCATCTTAACTCCTCTAGGAAGCCTTCCAGGCTCCATGCTATGCTCCATCTGTGCCTTCTATATTTTTATTAAAGTAACTAGTTTATTAAATAATTTGTTTACATGTTTGTCCTTCCAACAGTGTAAACTTCTTAAAGGTAGGGGTGGGGGTGATTCTTTTTAAAAAATATATTCCAATCCTTCTACTCCACCTGCTGTTAGGGTGTAAATTCAAATGCAGGTGGAGAACGATTTCTTACACAAAGAGTAAGATAGGAAGAAGTACAAAGTTTATTTTACTTTCTTCTAAAGAGAAAGGGCTCAACATAAGGAAGGAAGAAAGGAGTGTGGGCCTGAGCAGAAGCAGCTCAGGATTTTTATGGGAACAAAGAGAAGAGAGGAAAAAAATAGTTACGGCTGCCAGCTGATAACAGAAGTGGCTGTCTTTGCTTTTCCTTTTTTTGTCTTTTCTTTGTGAAGCTGGCTTATCAGAGTCCTTGGAATCTGGTTCTGGCGAGAGCTGGGAGCAAGCTCACACCCTGCTTAGGGCTCTTCAAGGCCGTGAAAATGAAACTCTCAAATAAAACAATTTTAATCTTAAAGACGACTTGAGTCCCAGGTGGTTGATCAAACAAAGTGAAGGGCAGTTGTGCAGTGATCTTTCCCTTCAAAGAGGCAATTAGGTATTATGAATTTATTCTTTTTTATTTCTGTTTGATAGTTTATCTTTCTCTGTTAACTAGTTTATTAGAAAAGCCATCCTTTCACCCACTTCCACTGTGACCCCCCCCACCCCACTATGAACACAGCATCTCTGGTTTGGATTGCTGGATTTCCTGAGACTGTTGCTGCTGCACTGCTAGTGCATTCTCTATGAAGAGTGTTCTTATAAAAATATTAATCAGATCAGGATTTCCATTGCTTTCCCCAGCTGGCTATGTGGAGAGACACAAGGACTGTAGCAGTGAAGCATCTGGGGTTGGGTGGTGTCAAAAGACAAAAGTACAACAAATCTAGTTATGATCTAATTGGCTTTTATTGGCTTTTGTTGGTGATTCATGAACGGGGACTGCCTCCATTCTACAAAACAATGAGAGCTCCCACCGAGCAATGGCAGAACAGCAGCTTTTGTAAGGTGGGAACAAGGAAACAGAACAATAGAAAAATGCTGATTGGTTAACATCAGGTTACCTTTTTTGCTAAGGATTAAAGCTGAGGGCACTTCCTTATTACCTGACTCAGGTAATGCATTTCAGGTAGACTGCAAGCTCCTGTTTTCAGGAAAAATTGGCCTGTTTTGGGATCTATTTGTTTCCTTAACATTTCAGTTTGATTACGTGGGATTTAGCCTGAGCGGCTCTATTGCGATTTGGTCTGGTCCGTTGGGGCCTAGTGTAGGAGTCTGATCCAAAGCAATGGCCTCCCATAATTTTTGTTTAACAGTGGTGGTGGGGAAAGTGTTATGATTAAAGCAACTCTGGGGCAAGAGGATTCTCGTGGCCGTTTGCCAGGTAGGAAATAGCAGAGACTGGAGCTTTGCCTGCAGCTGACTTGTCCTTTCATCTGTCACTGTGGCTCCGCGGTATGTGAGTGTCTTTTCCTGCAGGCTGCTCCAACGCTTTTTGGAGAAGGCGAGATATAAATAATACACGAGATGATGGTGGAGGAAGCTGCCTTTTGGGAAAAGGGTGAGCTACGGGATAGCTTTGGGATGTGAACTAAAATTAAATAGTAAGGTTCCCCCCGCCAGCTGACTGAATGGCCAAGGGGATACCCTAAGACTGAGTTGCTGGCCGTGAGAAGGGAGGTCAGACATGCCTCCTTACGCCCCCCTCCCTCCTTGTAGACATCCTCTGTAACTCATTAACAGGCCTAACGCTGTGCAAGACAAACCTGCGGGTCCTCAATATACACAACAAGTCACTTGAGTCTGGGTGTTTCTCCCGTGGCTTGTCTCTGATTAACAGATTTCTTTATCTTAACTTAAAACATTCCAAGCCTTTAGACAAAGCTTCATCTCTTTAACCAATTATGAATCAAAAAATCTTTAAACCCACCTATAACCTATAAGCCCTCATTTTAAGATGTCCCACCCCTTTGGGCCAAACCAATGTACACCTTCTATGTATCAATTTATGACTTTACATGTAATTCCTGTCACCCTGAAATCTATAAAACCAAACTGTAACCCAACCACAGGCAGACCACTTGCTCAAAGCTTCTTGGGCATGCCCATGGTCCTCAAATTTGGCTCAGAATAAAACCTCTTTAAATTATTTTACAGAGTTTGGCTTCTTTTCTGCTGACAGGGACCTATATCTGTGTCTACAGCAGCCTATTCCATTTTAAAGGAAGTCCTTCCAGCTTTATTTTGACTTCAAACCTCAAATGCCTATCACTGCTGTCCACTTCTAACTCCCACCTGCTCCTGTCCCCAAGCCAGAGCCAGATGGCAAGAGCAATGAGAGAGCAGTGACAGAGATTCTTTGCTTTACCAAACTTTAGTCAGGCTCTTGCAACTTCTTCCAGGAACTTTCTTGTAAAATCCAGTTTTTGCAAGAACTTCACTAAGTCGGTTTAGCATGAACCAATCCCCATCCTCCTTATCTGACTGATCACCCTTGATATCTGATCAGAGTCCTCACCCTCCTCCACCCCTGGGTGCTATCTGATCCCCCTGGCCTGTCTTCAGCCAGAATTCTGTTAGATTGGTTTAGGCAGGCAGAATCCCTGTTTAACCCTGAGGTTTCTTCTTAGTTAATTTCCCATCTACTCTGATGACATCTTGATGTTTGTTTCCTCTTAGTTAATTTTCTATACATTGGAGGCCAAGGAGGAAGGATTGCTTGAGGTCAAGAGGTTGAGACCAGCCTCAACAAGAGCAAGACCTCATGTCTAGTAAAAATAGAAAGAAATTAGCCGGACAACTGAAAATAGAAAAGAATTACCTGGGCATGGTGGCACACACCTATAGTCCCAGCTATTCAGGAGGCTGAGGCAGGAGGATCGCTTGAGCCCAGGAGTTTGAGGTTGCCGTGAGCTAGGCTGACGCCATGGCACTCTAGCCTGGGCAACAGAGTGAGACTCTGTCTCAAAAAAAAAAAAAAAAATTCTATATATTGACCCGGGCTCTGCTCCTTGGCTATAAATTCCCACTTGCCCTTGCTGTATTCAGAATCGAGCCCGCATCTATCCTGTGATCTCTTTTCTCCTGTCGCAATAGTCCTGAAGAAAATCTGTTGTCACCACTGTAATGGCTGTTCAGCTCTGCTTTTCTTAGACAGTGGGTCTATCCAGCCCTACCCTGGAAGTGGCGAGGAGCACACATAGGCACCGACCACTCCATCAAAGGCTTGCCCTTGAGGGCTCCCTACCTCTCAGATTTTTTTTAGCCACTTAAGAGATCAAAACCAGCTGGTCCCCTGGACAGCCCAGGGGCATTTATCAACAGCATGCTATCGCTCAGGGTGACGGGTCTTTTCTTTCTATTTTCTCATCAGGACTTGTAACAAGGATTCAGTCAGCTGCAGTCTCATTTCAAAGATCAGAAAAGAACCTGCATTCCAGGTACTCTCCAGCAACGTGACACCCAACATCTGAGGCAAAAGTCCCAGCTCTGACTTGTGATTCAGAACATGACCCATTTGAGAACAATGGGACCCACCTCCAGTGAGGACGGATGAGCGGTATGTGCAGGCGTAGGTGGTGCCGGGTGCAAATGGGAGCTGTGTTGTGGTCATTGCACACTTACTCCTACCCAGCTCTGAAGGTGGATGCGTGATACATGTATGTGCATGCGTGCTGTGGTCCTTCCGAAGCCTTCATGGCATGGGGAGAGATAAAAATACTGCTTTCCAACTACTCTGCTCCAGGCACTGGCTATGGCTCAGTGGAGAGTTTTGGAGATTAGGGTCTGTCTGTTCTTCAGCCTGAGTCCTGGTCGCTGGGCCCCGGGGAGCTGCTGGTCCAAGGGGAATGACAGAGTTGAGCTCCCTCATCCCCAGGAGGCTGGTGCCCCTCCCTGGAAGACGGCCTGGTCCGGGGAATGTTCATGGGGATGTTTTGTTTGCCGGGACAGCATCGCTGTCATAACTAGTTGGCACACTTTCTGACTCTTAGTGGTGATTGCAGGAAGTTGTTATGTATACATGCAAGACAGCCTGTCCTTTGTGAAGCCGCTCATTCAATTTTCAGACGGGTTTTGGATTCAATCAGGGTCTTTCTCACTCTGACTGCCCCTCCTTCACTGGCCCTTCTCGGTCCTGGGGGAGCCACGGTGACGAGTTCTAACTCCTCCTCCACTTGACCGCCTTCTCAGTGTGTGAAGGTGGCAACCAGACCTTCCCCGAGGGCTCCGGCTCAGCTGCCTCGGCC